TTGCTTCTTTGAAGCTGAAACAAAAAGGATATAACCAAATATCAGTAGTCGCATTAGCATATAACATGGGGAAGAGACTTCGTCGTCACTGCTCATGTTCATTAAACACATTCCTCCTTGCAACTGCCATATTCAATTGTTTTTCAAGAACTGGAAAGATCACGAAGCAAAGATGACAAAATGCCTGCTTGAGAAATATCAACACCTTGCAAATAAAATCTTCCTTCTAACAGCAAAATATTGTTCTTCATATTTTGCTCAAGATAAGAAAGAAGTACTTTATTTTCCACATGCTTGGCACCTATTAGAAAATTTCATATCAAGCACAATTTTCTTTTTCCTTTTAACCCAAACTTTCACTAGTTCTGATTGGGATATCTAATTGCCACTATCACCACTTTAAAAGCAAAGCTATATGAATAAGTTATTAAGAAAATATACAATTTTTTTGGAAAATTTTCATCTTTGTTTCCCTCCTAAAGACTTGTTTTTTGAAAGTCTTTTTTCTTTCACATTTTGGTTAAGATAAGAAAGGAGTGCTTTATATTTTTCCCATGTTTGGCACCTATTAGAAACTTTCCTATTGAGCACAGTTTTTGTTTTTGCTTTTGACCAAAACTTGTAATAGTAAGAAAAGCAATATAAGTAAACTATTAAGAAAATAGACAGCTTTTTGGAAAGTTCTCATTTGTGTTTCCCTCCAAATGACCCATTGTTATTTGCACAACACCCACTTTCTTCTTGACCCATTTACTCTCCTATGATCACATGTTATTTATATACAGTTGCTTCTGCTCTCACCAAAGCAACGTGAGACTTTATTTGACACACCTACATACCACAATTTATAACAAAATATTTTGCAGTAGCAATATAATCATTTTGAGATTTTGTAGGTGTAATAGGGGTGTTAGGTTGGATCTTCCAAGTTGACATATTGCAAAAAAGTGCATGGTGAATTGTCAGAACTCAAACTTGACAAACAACAAGGTATAATCCTATTAGATGGGGTGCGTTAGATAAATCAAATAATGTCATTGTGTTCTATTAACAACAAAATCCTTTAATAGATTGTTAACCAAAAAGTCTCATTCAAGCTCTAAAGTATTTTATATTTCAAAACTCAAGTTACCTATTTGATCTAAGTTTGTTTATTTGTTTTTTTTTTATTTTGTTTTATTTTGAGTTTCTCTATTAGAGAAGAACTTTAATATTTCCTCTTATACACCCATTGGAATTAATTAAGCCATGAGTTTAACATCTCCATTTTCTTCGAGGATAATATATGGCCACTGGATCTAGAAGCTCTCAAATTCCTTTTTAATAAATGTAAATTAGCATAAGCAATTAGATTCAACCGACAACACCGTACCTATATGTAAAGAGAAAGCGCATGATGTCATCACAGCTAGGAACAACTTGTATTGAGATTAGATGGGCATATTGCTTATTATAGCTTTGATGAAATGAGCAATAAATAAGTACTAATTAATCTTTTCTAACCAGTTAATTAGTATTTTGATGTTTGGATGAGTTTGCTTGAAATGTTTGACAGGACCTTGGTTTTGTTTTAGATCCTTCTTTTTCTCTGAACAATGAGGAAAATAAGAGAAAAACATTTCATTCACTAAAATCCTTACCCTTTTAGTTTTTCTCAGACAAATTGTGATAATCTGTAGTTTTTTATTCACTATAACTTCTTGGTTACTATTTTTTTTCCTCAGCTCCTTTGGATTTTTCTTTTAATAACTACTTTAGAGTGCACTTACATACAAAATGTTTTGTTAGTTCACCGTGATATATCTATCCTATGAAGATGTCTACCTCATGGGTATAAATTTTGTAGATTTTATGGAGAGATTTTTAGATTATTTGCTTCACATTTAATTATTTTTCACTCTGTTTATGAAATATATGTTATTATATATGCTTACTTATGTATTTAAATTTTATTAGTATGGCTCCAATGACGGCGCTTGTCACAAATATGCTACTACTACTAATAAGAATACTGCTGATAGGAATAACACTAATCAGAGTTTGATTTAGAGTTCCAAGATGGATGATGGCCTAATTGATGCATTTATGCATGAGCTATATCTTGATAAAAATGTGAATGGAACATTTACAACTAAAACTTATGATAACATAACACAATATTTAAGTGCTTTGTTTGGGTTTAAAGTTGACAAGGAAAAGGTCAAAAATTGTTGGAAGACTTTAAAAAAGGATTTTTCAGAAATTTATGATTTTTTTACAAGGGTATGAATGGTTTTTCATGGAACTCAACCACTAATCGATGGGAGGCTAAAGACCAAGTATTGGACCAGTTGATTGAGGTTAGATGAGTAAAGTTTTTTTGCTTTCAATTATGCAATATTTGCAAGTACTTTTTCACCTTATAGATTTATTATATATATTTTTAGGTTAAATGAAAAGCAGCCTTTTAGAGGAATATTTTTTACTTAACTACGAGAATATGTTGGTTCTTTATGGAGTTGATAGAAACAATAGAGATGAGGCTGATACTCCTTCAGAAATGAAGAAATGAAGGCATGTAAATTTTCAAGAATTTGTTGAGATTGAGGTTGATCAGCATACCTCTCATAATAGGCGTCTTTGGAATTTTTGAATTTAAATTTTAGTGTCATATATTTTATTTTTGAGCATTAATTCATGTGCCCAAAAAATATTCAATAAAATTATATGAAGTTAAAAAAAACTAAAATGAAATAAGGGCAAAGTTGTCCAGATAAAAATATTTTCCCTCCCCTCTCTTCCTGAACCAAACAAGGTAACATGAAAGTCCATCACCTTTCCTCTCTTCTTATCAATCCAAACAAGGTAATGCTAAAATCCCTCTCATCCCTTCTCCTCCTCTCCCCTCTCCTCTTCTCCTCTCCTCCTCCTCTCCTTTCTCCTAATTTGAGCCAAACACCCCCTCACCCTCTAAATCTCCCAATATTTGAAGGGAAGTATTAGAAGGAGAGGGGAAATTTTAGAGGGAGCTTGCATTACTGGCCTTGAAAAAGAGTCATTGTAGAGGGACAAGCTTCCTTAATAGACAAGTGGAGCTTGCATGAAAGAGTCAGATACTTCATCTATTCTTTTCCTTGGCGTAGCTGGGCCATCCTAGGCTTGAACTGGAGACCTCGTCCATGAAGTAAACCATCACACCTACAATCCAACCAATTAGGATAGAATCAATATATTCCTTTTCGAAAGTGACTCATCCTTTCCAAACACAACATACAACTCTCTGTTGTACTGTGCTCTCTAAGTGTGTTTCTTATTCCCCTATTCTTCCTTACTATTGGGGGCGTTCAAAATAGGCACGTCCCTCTTTGGCCATATTAGGATGGAGCGGACTTGTCCCAAAATTTTTCGAGATGGGATAAAAAATAGGATCGAGACGGGACAAGACACCGAACGGGGTTCTCTCATCCCGGTAGTAATTTTTTTTATCTTATTATAATTATTAAATGTTAAAAACACAAAATGTTTAAGGCATATGTAATTCAAAATTTTTGTATTTCTAGCTTTTAGTATATATGTAATTGGATGGTTATTATTTATTTAGAGCTTTTATAATTGCTCATGACTTTTAGAATAGTGAAAATGAATTTTGGAATTATTATGTTACCAACTATTATTTATTTGGGCTTTTGTTTAAAATGGTTAGGCCCAAAAAAGTAAAAACAAAAAGAAAGATGCTTTCAAAAAGGCCAAGCCCAAAGAACTAAAAATAGAAAGGAATTAAAAAAAATAAAAATCCATTACAATAGCCCAACTATAAGGCAAAAACATTTTACCCAAAAAAAAAGAAGCAAAACAGGACATCCTGGTGTCATCTTGTCCAGAACGGGACCAGGATAGCACTGGGATGAGACAGGACAGATTTCCTGTCCCTTCTTTGTTCATCAAGACAAGACTGGTACAGGTCTATCCCGGTCCCGTCTCGTCTCATGAATAGCCCTACTTACTATGACAAGTTTTTGTGAAATAATTTCAATGAGAAGAAAAAAGGTGTTAAGAGACTCTCTAAGCCCAGCCCTAGATACTCTAAAATCTTTTTTCAAACATGCTCCCACTTCGAGTCAAAAGATAGATAAATAGACACATCTCAAGAAACAAATTATTTATCAGCTAAGCATTCTATTCTTATTATGGTTAGATTCAATCTTTTAATCCCTATAGAAAGGAAAAAGAATTTTTCATTCTTCCTTTTGAAAGGGGAAGATTAGAAAAATCTTATTGATTGCAATTTTTTCTAGACCCCTAGGAAAAGCATGAAAAAAAGGTTTTAATGGTATAATCTTGCTGTCATCCTAGAATGAAAAGGGTGATCTTATAATTCTTGGTTTGTGAAGATATATTGTTAGGTGTCCCGTTTTTATTTTTCCATTGAGGCCAAACCTAAACCTTTGTTTGATAGGTAACTATTTATATACTGATAAAGAATATATAAATTATTGAGAAGAGAGGAGCCGTAGTGGCCCTTTAGACTACCCTGATCCCACAAGTAAAATAGAAAGTTAGATCTACATTGGATTTTACTTGAATCGCCCCATCTATTCTCTTGAGGAAAAGTTTAGTTTCATTCGACTAGTATCATATGGCCAAGATTTGTCTTTACTCTTATGAGTGGATTTCTCTAACTATTATGTTAAATTTGTTTCTTTATCTCTCTGTTTTTTTTTTTTCCGGTTGAGTTTAAGATAGTAGTGAGTAACCTCTTTATATGGTACACTTTTCTAAGAAGTTTTAGTATGGGTTATGAAACCCTTTTCATATATACCACTAAGGATCAGATAGTTAAAAAACTCAGCTAAGCACTAATTATGTTAGGTCTTGTGATTTTTTTCCCCCTTGTATTAGTTCTTCTAAAGTCATTTTGTCTTTCGTTACATTTCAATTGATCAGTTTTTTTGGACCAAAAAAAAAAAAACAAAGTTTGTGTTGGCTCATTTCCGTTTTCCGAAAGCCCGTTCGAACCGTTTCTGTATACTATTTCGGTTCTTCCTCGTCCGGCCGGCGCCTCCCTCATCTTTCACTTCTCTTCTTGGACCTGCTTGTGGATCCTCCGTCGGGCGTCCTCGTCGCCGCCTGCAACTGCGTTCTTCATCATCATCATCTTCTTCTTCCTCCGTCATTGTTTTCCGTCTTCCTCCGTCGTGTGTTCCCCATCCTTGTCGTGCACACTTGAGCTTCACCTTGTCAACGTCAATACTCGTTCCTCGCTTCCTTCCCAAAGGTAAGTCCTGCTTGGCTCTTGAACTCCCCCCTTGTTTGCTCGATTTCTGGTGGCAACTCTGCATTTAAATCCTTCTTGGGATGATTGAAATATGGCTTCGGATTTAGATCTGGTTGAAGCGACTGAAACTGAGTGGATTTCAGCTTGTATGCAATTCGGACTGTTTTGAATCTGATACTGGTGTCCTGCGCGTGTTGAACATGATAAGATTTGGTGTTTGGCTTTTTTCGCTCCTCTTTTTGTTGATCGGGGAATTTTTACTTGATGTGTTATTTGACATGTTTCATTTTTTTTTTTTTTGGGGTTACAAGACATGTTTCATTTTTACTACTTAACTGTAGCTGTCTTCTAGCGATTATTCTATATAAGATCTTGCTGAGAAGTAGTTTAAGTCACTAAATTAAATCATATGTCACAATGCAGTATAACTAGAAGCCTATCTGATTACTCTTGTTCTCATTTTCTTTTCTGTATTGCTCAGAAGTATTGCCATCAGAGTCAATGAAGGAATGAATAAAAGTGATGGGAAGATGGGGACGTATGAATGTGTGAAGCAAGGGGGAAAAAGAAATTATATTTTGTTGAAATTACCTTGGTTGTCTGCATTGAACAACTTTGTCTTCTGTTGCGTTTTCTTTTATATATGAGATGTAAGCTAAAGCATCTTATCAATGAGTACCCAAAAAAAAAAAAAAAAAGGCAGCAAGAGATGAACCAAGGGGCTGGACCGGCTGGACTCGACCGCTAACCCGTTCCAGTCCACCCAACCTGTTGTTCACCTTGTTCCCCACTGTCGATTATTGACGCTATACCTATATATGCTGCCTGAAGTTGTTTGGATTTTATCTCTTCCAGTAACTCTGACTCAGGGGCAGTTTGGGAACTGCATGGAAGCACTTAAAAAAATTGCTTTCATGCAAGTCCAGACCCAGACAAAACTTCTCTCACATATTTACTTTGAACACCATAAAATCACTTCTAAAAGGCCAATCCAAACACCCTCTGAATAACATTATAAGCTGCCTCGTTTATGACCTACCCCACCATTAACTTTATGATGTTGACTGAATTCATACCTGATTGCATAATGCATGCAAGAATTGCTTGGATTTTATTTCTTCCGCATTTGCAGCGTTCATGTATTGTAACATTCTAAACTTTCCCATTAGCCATTTGCAGTCGAGATATGATTGAATCTCGTTTGTTGATGATAGTTTGCATCTAGTTGCTTGGATTTTATCTCTTCCGGTAATTCAGATTCTCTGTTATGCCTTTTGCTTTTCAGAACTAAGTCAGGCCCTTGGGTTTGACAAAAAGGCAGGTTATTTAGTCATCCTCTACTTTCCTGTCCGACTAATCAGATTTGCAGCCTAATTTTCACAATGACTGAGGTAAACTGCTTAATGTATCCAATTTTTATGATTACTTTGATTTTCTTTCTCTAATATTATCTCTTCATTTTTTTTTAAATCAGGTTTCCCCCTTTATGGACAATTAAGCTGTCCAAAATTTGTACCTTTAAGATTATGACATCGTAAGTCTGATAATTAGAAGTTCAACAGATACAAAGTAGCCCAGGAGATATATATTTTGGTTTTTTTTCTGCCCAGTGGGTGGGAAGCCTCTAAGTTTACTTTTAAACTTTCATAGATCATGCTTTACTGTCGTAACTGCTTCAGTCATTGAGATTTTATGGGCATAAACTAATTTTTAAACTAATTAGTAGACGATAATATGCAACTACATATCCCTGTTTATACAAATTCCAGGGTTAGGATTTGTTATGATAACGTACTTATGGAGATGTACCATCTTGGCTCTTTCTGACATGCTGAAGTTAGACTTGTTTATCATTGAATGCTTTTGTAGTTTTTTTCATTACTCCTTTTCTGTTTTCAGTATTGGGTCAGCCAGGGCAATAAATGGTGTGACTTCTGCAAGATCTATATATCAAATAATCCAGCTAGTATTAGGAATCATGAACTTGGTGAGCGTCATAAAGATAATGTTGCTAAGAGACTTGCTACTATGCGAAAAGAGAGCGCTGCTAAGGAGAAAGAACAGAAAGAAACAGCACTCGCCTTGGAGCAAATTGAAGCGGTAAGAGTCCAGGAGTTTTATTCCTCATTTACGCCATTGATGTTTCTTGTTTGTTGTATAAAAATAAATAAATAAGCAAATGAAAATTCTTAGTACTTGCAAGGTTTAGCAGCAATAAAATATGACAATTGCCCTTTCGATGCATTAGCTTTGGTTTATAGCATTGTTTGTCAATTTGTCTGTCAAATGCAGTTTTCAAAATTTGCATATTTGAAGTCATAATGATAATACTATAATACAAAAAAAGTTACCGAGTCCTATTAGGTCTCGCAGATTGAACTATATGTGCTGGTTTGGTATGATGGAAGTGGAAGTCATGGTGAAAGTCTAAATTTAGGGTGTTTGATATGTTGGTAACCTCTTTGCTATGGAATCCACTTCAATCAAAAATGAAGGAAGTGGCTTTCATAGGGGATGCTGTGGAATTCTGAAAACTTCCGTGGAAGTTAAGTTGAAAGACCAATATATTCCTCCAAATAATATTTTAATAGATATTCGCCCTTGCCCATTTTCACATCCAAACTCCACCTCATTCTATAGACATAGAACTCTTGTGATTGAAGCTCCATGAGCGTGAGCTTCTGGCAGCAACAATGAAGATTGCTTCCAGTGGCAATGGTGCGGTCCTAGTCCCTGACCTCCGTTAATTTTCATTGCTGCCAGCCTCCATCAAGAAGCGGAGGAGCCCTAATAATCCAAATCCAAATTGAGGGTTCATTCTTCTAGGCAGAGAAGGATGGTGATGACGGTGAGACTGGCGGTCAGGACATAAGGATTCATTTGATGAGGCTTCTAGGATCTTCGTTTTTTATTTCTGGTTCTGGTTCAATTTATGGCTTATGGGCGTTGTTCAATCTCTGGTGCTGTTGTGAAGTCAATTTTGAAATGAAATTTATGGATGAACTGACGAGAAGAGAGGAAGAGGTTGGGTTGGGATTTTTTTTTCCTTAACTAGGGTGCATTTTGATCCTTTGATATTTTAAATAAATATAAAAATTAAAAATAATACATGACTTCAATAGGTATACCAAACATACTTTCAAGGGAAAATCGCAAAAAAGACTACTGAAATAGAAAAATTGCATACAAGGATCGGTTCATAAAAATTGTTGTTAAAACCCATACTAATATTGTCATGAGTCCCAATTTGTAATTTTTCTATTTCGATGGTCTTTTTTTTGCCATTTTCCCTGCTTTTAAACCCATTTCCATTTCCTCCTCCTCTTTTACTTTTAGTTCCACTACTATCAAAAACTCTTCCATCATGCCAAACTGGCATATAAGTTGAACTTTCAGTTGATTGCAAAATGAGACCCCACACTTTGTAAGCTGTTTTCTATCAATTTCCCCAGGATCATTGAGATATACTTCCTCCGTTCCCTATTATAAGAGATGATTAACCGAGTCACATTAATCAAAAAGTTGGTTAAAATTAGTCAGAAGCAATAAATATGCAAAAAATGCAATCTATTTTCCAAAAATGCCCTTATTTATGGAAAATGAGGGTGGGAGAGAGAATGAGTTGAAAAAGGTATGAGAGAATGTGTGAGAAAATATGATGAGAGAGATGTAATTAATTGAGGGTAAATATGAAAAAGGTACATTAAATGTCTAAACACCTTCAAATTGTCTCTTATAAAAAAGAACACGCCCTTTCAAAAAAGTATCTGTTATAAATAGGAGCAGAGGGAGTAATAGATTGCATCTAGGATAAGACGTGGGTTAGGTAATGTTCCTTGGGTGTGTGCCTTGAGTTTTCCTAGTGAAAAACGTGTCATACGGAGAAGCTTTATCAAAAAATTCAGTCATATAATTTTAAGTTGTGAAATATCTTTGCTTGTGAATTGTGATGTTTTACATGGGGAATTTTGGAGCTAATTCCTAAAAACTGTACCTGACTTTTCGTATGTAGTGTATGCATTCTATTTCCATTGGACATGCATTTGACTTTTAACTTTACTGCTTTTACAAGTTTGTAACTGTTACAATAAGCAAGGTTAAACCATAATTTGACCGATTAATTGAAGCTAGCTGAATACTGATGTAATAGATATTTTGGGGACTACAACAAGTCAACAAGAGGAACTGGAAAAATATGCATTGCAGGTATCGTTGAAGGCACAGTAAGCTGACTTATGCACTTAGTGATAAAAAATGTTCACTTAGGAAATTTGAACATACTTGCATACAAAAGAGATGGGAAATATACTCTCACGCTTATAATGGATACATTCATATTTCTCTCTTTATAGTGTCGTAGTCACCAGAATAGTCTTGTCATACTTTCAAAAAAAAATTTCTGAAGTTATCTCCTTATCATTTGTACTTTGTGTAAGAAACACAATCACACGGGTATCTAAGATTTTTCCTTGGCACACCACATATGGTGGTTGGTTTGAAATTTATTATTTTCACCTCCATCTATATTTACATATTGCAACATTCCAATAATAATATTTAGTGTTCACGAACACATTTTCAGATATGTTACTTGTCAAGGTGTTCATGTCTTTATATTTTATTGCAGAAAGCACAGCGTAGCTATCAGAAGGATGTAGCGAAGTTTGAAGCAGCTAGAGAATCACAAGCACCAGATTTCCAAGGGGATGGTCAAGGTTGTAAGTAAAACTATTCATTCATCTTCACAGATGTTATAATGATGATTAATTTGCATGTTCTGAAGGAAGTTGTCTTATCTGGACTTGATTCTTTTGGAAAGGACTCATTGTGTTGACCCTGTTCGTCGTGCTATATTTTTGGAATTTAATTTAGTTCTTTATTAATTCTATATAACTTGAAAAGGCTATATGTTTGGGCTGATCTTTTTGGTGTTTTGTGTTCATAGGGAACAAAGGGCTTGGGAGGAAAAGATACTCTATCTTTACCCAATGAAAAGCTTTCCTTGGATTTTAATCAATTGGATATGCGAACATCAACTTATAGTTTAATGTAGTTTTTGAGATATTTTACCATGCTATCTATCGAGCAATTGACCCACTTTGTATGGGTCATTTTGTTAATGGTTTATAACATCTCTTGCCTTGGTTATGGCTTAATCGAAACTGATTATTGCTGGCCGATTTTACAGAATGGGAATTCGACAGTGGTTCAGGCTATTATTACCATCAGACAAATGGTTTCTATTATGATTCAAAGTCAGGATTCTACTATTCTGATGCCATAGGTACGAGTTGCATACACTGCTGTTCCATATGTTCTTTATGTTTGGTTTTGTCATTTTTCCTGAAGCGATTCACGTGTGACAATACCGTAACTGTATTGATAATCGGGTATTTTACTTAGAGAAATTGCTGCAGGCAAGTGGGTGACTCAGGAAGAGGCGTATGCGTCACCTCACTTTTCTTCTAATGCTGGGCACAAGGGACCCACTGTTAAAAAACCAACGTCAGCTTCACAATCCAAATCAGTTGAAGATAAAGGCGCAAATAAGTCTCAAAGTGTACCTGCACCTGGACCTGTAGTGTCAACTTCTTTGAACCTGATGAGATCTACGAAAGCAGCACCTTCATCTCTTGCTGTGGGAAAGAGAAAGAGAGCACCAGATGCAAAATCCAAGGTTATGTCCGAAGAAGAAAAGGCAGCTCTCAAGGCAAGAGAGGCTGCAAGGAAGAGAGTTGAAGAGAGGGAAAAACCTCTGCTTGGGCTCTACAGCAAGCCTTACTAAGCAGGGAGAATACTCTGAGCCGCTTGGTTTTAATGGTTATAATTCTCACAGAACTTCAACCGGACTTTTCTTATTAAAAGTGAGAAATCACCAATGGCATATACAACATCTGATGAGGTAGAGCACTATAATTCATGGTTGAAGTTGTGGGCTCTTTCTACCCAGATTGTCTCATTTCTTCCTTTTAACTTGGGTTGTTGTCCATGAGGATACTCTGATTCCTTGTGCTTGTCCGGTGACTGCGCCCTGTATGCTAAAGTGTGACTTATGCTTCATTCTTTTGCAGTACATGTCAAATTTTCAGTTCTAGGGTGAGGAAAGACTTCTCACAAGGACTGGTAAAATAGATACAATCGTGATGCACATGCTTGGTTCAGGGCAAAGTAGTTGTTGCAAGGTAACTTTACTTTTAGAAGCCTACGAAGGGGTGTCTAGGTTAATTTTTTGAAAGTGATTCTAAAGTGTACTAGGTAAGTGTACAAGAGTAGTTTTTTTATATGAAAGTGTTTCTGAGATGCTAATTCAAACAAGCTCGAGCAATGCATATGCGAGCTTTGGTTAGGTCTCAGAAATTAAGCCACGATTAAAATGAATGTTCTCCACAAAAGCAATGACATGATATCTTAGTGACATTTTTTTAATAATCAAAACAGGAAGGCCATGGCATGAACTATAATGCCTTTCATGATTGTTCCTACGATCGACCATCTTAAAGCAGCAAGAGAATCGGTCGTCATTGGAACAAAAATTACTAGCATTTACGTGAGCAAGGTAAGGTAATTAATTGGATCGTTACTAAATGAATTGTGCAAATTAGGGAGTGATAAAGAAGAAAAGAATAGTTTATTTTTCTCCAACAGAAAAAATAATTTATGTAGTATAAAATTTACAATATTTGTAAATGACAAAAACGACTTTTTTTTTTTTTTGGGTATTTTGCGTAATATAAGGAGGTCACACTTCCTAGTATAAAGGGAAGTTACCTGTACTAATGCTTGTTTGAAACTGCTTAATATAAGTACTTATAAGCATGTTCGCATAAGACTTGTATTCCGTGAATACTATTTAAAAGCCATTTTTGAAGGGGTTATTCTACATGGATGGCACGTGATTTTAAAGCTAAAATGATCATGGACTTAAGTTAAACTTCATTATGGACTTTTGGCTTGGAATGGCTTATAGAGTTTTGTTTCGACTTACATGAAACGTGTTTGTTAAACTTTAATGTTTATAGATATTTCAACAGTCAGCACGTGATTTTAAAACGGGATCATAAGCAGACTAAGGGCAACGCCTTTAGTTACCAAACTCAATTAGGATAATAATATTTGAATGGAAAATGTGATAAATGAAAGGAAAAATGAGATTAAGGTCTTACAGAAGACAAAATACAGTAAAAAGATACTTTCAAACTTAATAATTGCATAGGAGTTCAAAGGAACTTGATTGGGTTAATGAAAAAAATGATTAGACACTATTGCCCTTCCAAATAAAGAGCCAAAAAACATAGGCATAATTGATTTCCTTTATCTTCTTCATAGAGCTCCTATATGAGAGAGAAAAACTTGACAACAAAAGAAGCAAAGTGGGGACCATCTTCCTCATCACCATTATTGAAGTCAAAACACCTTCTGCTTCATTGTCTTGGTTGATTTTGAGGTTCGAGACTTTCTTTCCTCTCTTCTCCTAAAATATTTTGGTTTTCAGATTGGGTTTATGTGGGGGGTATATAGAAAATCATTTCTCCCTTTAGGCTGTTGCAAAGCTTCCCCCCCCCTCTTTATGATCTATTATGACAAAACTTGTGTTTTTTGTTTGGTATGTGTTGGTGACTAAACTTGGGGTTTCATTGTGGGTGGATAGACTGATGATGGATGATTTGTTATTAGGTATATTGTGGATGGATTGGTTGTAGATTTGCTCTGTTTGGTCATGATTTAGTGAGATAGATTAAAAAGATGAAGATTGGCATGGGTAAGAACCCTAACTGTGAAATGGGAGAATGTATTATAAGTGTAAGCCGTGATAGTTGACATTATAGCTACTTGACTTGTTAGTGACATTAAAAATAGCGAGTATGTCCAGAAAGAATCCATTTTGTATTTTCATATAAGGGGAAGTTTGTAAATGATGGAGAAGATGATATGCGATATGTTAGAAGTAGCATGAGAACAAGAAGTATAAAGAAAGACACAGGTTATGAAGAGTTGAAGACAATGACATCATTTTTTTTTTGGAGACATTAGAAATTAGCATAGGTAATCTGATATCCATATATTGTTACAAAGTATCTAATACAAAAAAAGAATGAAAATTCAGTTTTTTATTTCGTATAATTTTTAACAAGTTGATGGAGGTTCCTAAAGTTCAAGCACACTTACTTGAAATTAAAGTTTTGTAAAACTTAAATTAGTAGATATATTGAGAAGTGACAGTGCCAATATTAACAAGTAAAGAAAGGTGTATTGACAAGGGAGAGTGCAAATAATGACAACTAAATACATATCAGAATGTAACATTTTGGATTATATTGTTCTTAGTTGTCATTGCATGGTATTATTATTGCCATTTGATTTTGTCTTACTCTGTCTTCCTTGTTTATGTAAATTTTTTTTTGCAAAATAATTGTTTAACCATAGCTTGTTGCATGCTATTAAGCCAGAATTGTTTGAGAATGAGGGTAAAATTGATAACAAAGTAAAATGGGCCAAATTTTATGTCTAGTATGATAACTTAAGTTTATTTGTTGGATTGAATTAATTTATTTATTATGGTTTACAATAAGGTTCACATGATCATTATATGTAAAATTCTGTTTATAGTGATTCATGTGGCATTCATGTTCTCTCGTGGCTATAGGAGTGGGATGACACTTTTTGTGATGGTGTAGGATATGCCATGGTACTCGAAGAATAAACTACAGGAGCTTAAAGTTGGATGCCTATGGTGGCTACTTACTTATAGAAATAAGCAAACATAGGGATATAGTACTATTAATGCCATTGGATTTCAACCAAAGCAAGAAAAGGAGATAAAGCTACTGACAATCATGGGTGTTAGAAATGACTAGTAATAACCCTCTAGTTGACAATTCATTTTGTAGTAGGAACTAATCTAATTATGTTGAATTGTATATAATATGATTACTTACTTTCTTATTCATATTTTAGTGTTTCTATTTGTCATATGTAGTAGAATTCAGTCCAATTATGTTGAATTCCATTTATTTACTTACATATTAAACAATATATATATCATAATGGACAGTGCAATTACTAACAAGTCAAGGTGTATATATTAATAATTAATACAAGAAATATTAACAACTAAAGGTATTCTTAATTTCATATTTGCAATTGAATTATATATATGTTAAAATATAACTATCATAGCACATTATAACTCATTATAACAAGAATGCATTACTGAAAGTTATATTAATTGAATGCTATTGAAAGGGATAATTCCAACTATTGACAAGTTATAATGCCACTACTGACCAGTGACAGTGAAGCTATTGACAAGTCTAACTACAACTAGTAACAATTCAAGATGTAGTGAATAACAAGTAATTGTATAATTTCATATCAGTGATGATAAGTATGTTATAAGTGATTTTATATGACATTATAATCAACCTTATATCATATGACATTGTAACCAACCTTTATCATTAGATAAATTGACAAGTGATAGTGTAACGATTGACAAGTGGGGAAGCATATAATGACAATGCAAGATATAGATAATTACAACTGATTGCACATTAAAATTGAATATACCATTTTATAGCCAATTTTTATTAATAGCTTCACATACATGTGATTTCACCAATTTCACAACCCATTCCAAAGAAAAAAAAAACATGGGTTACATGTATCCAATATCAAACTAAATATTGGTGCATATTGTCATATATACACAAATTTTCTTCGCACCATTTACAAAGAAAAAAAGGCTTTCATAACATGTTCTCAACTAGGATTTGAGTTGCTACATGTCTTAGCACTATGTCCAATCTCATTGCATCTTCCATAGTACATGGAATTGACAATGTCTCTCCAATCTCATTAAACGAAATAAGTAGAGACATAGACAGTCCATTTAAACCTCCAGAAAAATTGATCAATCCCGCAGTAAATGACAAATTAGGATGAATATAATAACAACTTAGTAGCATGCCAGTAACAACTTCTATAGCAAAAAATGACAATAAAAAACATTTGTCCAAACTAAACCTATACATCTTGCTTTTTCTTTACATCATCCCTTATTGCTTCTGTATAGTCATTACTTCCATTATCTTCTACGTACACATGACCACTTTTTTCGTTAAGCTTTATTAAATGCTCTACCCCTTCATCATCTACCAACTCCATAAATATACTTTTATAAAAATATAGCTAAAGATTTCAAAACAAATAAATTACTTTCTTTTTCAAGAAGTCTTCATAACATGTGCCTTTCTTTATTTTTTTGTTCTTACACTACCCCTAACATACCACATATCATCTTCTCCATCATTTAGAAACTTAACCGCTATATTAAAAAAAAAAAAATAGATGCTTTCTAGCTGTACTCGTCATCTTCAATGTAAACCTGCATCATACAATCATCATTAACAAGTGAAGCAGTAATATTGACAACTATCGCAATTTATATTGACAATTATCGTCGCATATATTGATAACACAATATCTCATTTCGCAGTAAGAGTTTCTACTCATACCAACTTTCATCCTTTTCATCTATTCTCACTGAATCATGCTCAAACAAAGCAAACCCATAATCAACTCACCCACAATATACCCAAAAATAGAGCATCGATTATTATCTTACCTACCTATAGTGAAACCCTAACTTTAATCATCAACACACACTAAATCTAAAAACACAAGTTTGGCATTACTAAATTCGTTCATATTAGACCAAAATTAAAAGTTTTATAATAGCTAAAGGGTTGAATGATTTTCAGCATAGTCATATCCAAACCTAATCTGTAAACCAAAATGTTCTAAAAGAGGAAAGGAAAGAAACTTTTGAACCTCAAAATCGACGAGATGATGAAGACAGAAGGTAAAGGGTAAAATGATACCCGAACCTAATCTATCAACCAAAATGTTCTAAAAGAGGAGAAGAAAGAAATTTTTGAACCTTGAAATTGATTGAGACAATTAAAATGGAAGGTGCATGGACTTCACTAATGGTGATGGGGAAGATGCTCCATGAATGGCTGCTTGCTCCTTTCTCATATGTAAGAGTTTCAAGATGCATGAAATGAGTTCTTTCTTTCCTTTTTCTATTGTTTTTTTTTTTGGCCTACATTGCCAAGGGCAAAGAAGTCTATTTGCATTTAATTAAATTGCAATGAGGTCTTTTTGGGACTTGTGATTAATTAGAAGATTTCTAGGGACTTTTTTGCCATATTTTCTCTTCTATAAGACTTCAATACAACTTTTTTCGAAATGAATAAACTTCTTGTCCATTCTAACATGTAACTCTATTGTTTTTCTTTTAATGTTGAGTCAAAAGAAAAAATATATCATGTAAAAACTTTAGGAAAATAGTAAAAGAAGATGGGCGTACGAATCAACAGACTTTCTATTATATTTTATCCCTCCCTATTTCAAGAAAAATTCATTCACCCTCAAAAAATTTATTTTTTAATAT